ATGTTATCTACATGTATTTTAAAATATAAAAAACTTTTTTCTTTTTTTTTGTGAAACAAATATAAATTTTCTTTGCAATTAATTTTTAAGTAACATTCTTGTAAAAAATTCTAACATTTTTCTGTTTTTGCTTCATACATAATTATTCGATTTTTATCACACAACCTGCATTGTTATGGAAATATTTGTGATGTATAAATTAATTGTTGAATACTATTAGAATTAGAATACTATTGGAATCATTTTTTTGATATCATATCCTTATAACTTTTATATAAATAAATATTCATAAAATTTTTTTAATGCATCGTACTTTATAAATAAATACATATTGTGTTTATCATTCAGATATTGAATGGGTCAACGCAGAATTCACTGTTGTGGATAAATCAGAACTCACTAGAAGAAAAATAATATATTTCATGGTCATGATTAATATATTATCAAGAAAAATTAATGATGCAAAGAGACGAATAAAACTATAAGATCACAATTACAATATCCATATTATCTAAAGAAAATCCATTATTGAGATGACATTTCAAATTGAAAAAATCAGGATAATTTATTTTTACCATTACAGAATTAAAGAAAGAATGCTAATGAAATGTAGCTGAATCTGAATCTATCATATCACAATGTCATCACCATTAATATTGGAAATGAATCAATGAAATTAAAGATCATATCAAGTAACTTTGGATAACTATACAACTGAATTGAATGCCTTATTAAAGATAAGAATAATATAAAAATAAATGCTAAAGTAATATAATATTAATAAAGTAATATAATTATTAATAAAGTAATATAATATTTCTATATCACTACTAGGATTAATATTAAGAGAATTCATTCTTATGAGCTTTAAAATATATGCAGTAAACAGTATGACAATTAATTAATTAATGATGTTGAATCTGTCATTCGATACTAGCAAAGCAAAATTGCAAGACATAATTAAAACTCCAAAAGATGGTTAAGAATAAATTTCAACTCGTTCATAGATTTGATAGATTCTCTTTTAATAATGGACAAATTTAAATCAGATAAAAATAAATTTTAACAATTTTCTCAATCTTCTCTTCTCTAAATATATTAGTTTTACTAAAAATTGAATCTATTTTTCTTTTTTTCTTTTTTTTTTTCTTAGTATTTTTTTTCTATATTTTTTATTTTCGAAAAAAAAATCTTCAAAAAAAAATTCGAATAATATAATTAATTAATAATATAATTAATATAATTTATAATTCATTAAAATTAACATATTGAAAAAAGTATTGAGAATTTTCTAATATTTTCTGTTTCCACGTTGTTTTTCGTTTATTTATTATTTTTTTATGGTTTAATTGATTCCTCTCTTTTTTCAAAGCAGAATTGCTGGACATTCATAACGTATATAATTTGCAAAAATCCCTATAAAAATCCCAATATGCTATTTCTTCTATTACTAAAAATGATTCACAGATTCAAATTTTTATTTATTTTAATTTGGTAATAAAATTAAGTTTTAATTCTACTATTAATGCTATAATTGTTTTCTATAATAAACTAATAACATCGCATGTAACACTAAAATGATAAGAAAATTACGTGAAGTCAAATTTTTATAATATAAAAAAGCATTGCATATCACATCTTTTTGTTTTCAGCTAATTAATTATTAAAGTAAAAAATAATTAAAAATAAAAAAATTGAATATGAATTTTGATTCCATAAATTTTTAATATTAAAATTATATAATTTATATGTCAAATATAGATTATGTATATCCAAAGAAAATATGTATATCAAGAAAATATAAAAAAAAAAAATAAAAAAAAAAAAGAAATATAAAATCCGATAAAATAAAGTTTAATCTATTTACATATTAAAAAATATATATATAAAATTTTATTTTGTATTCGATGGCAGCTAATGTTATCATCGCAGCTTTAGACTATGTGCTTTATTATTAGCTAGTGCTTTTTTTTTTGTTAATAACTCGTTAACAAAGACACAACAAAAGTTTTTACAAAAGAAAATGTTGCTTGAAATTATCTCAATAATCTTCAATTCTACTTATATATATATATATATATATATATAATCTCAACTGTAATTATATAAATTATACGAATTATTAATATAATTATAATTATATAAATTGTATTTTATAAATAAAATTATTTTAAAAATAAGAATTTCTATCACTATTTTGATATCACGTAGGTAATTTTATCTTAGCTTCAAAGCAATTTGAACTCATGTTTATAAATATATAAGTCTGACATTTGCAACTATAACATTTTATGTATATGCTAAAATTATATATATTTCTCTTAAGTTTTATGATAATATAGGATAATTATATGGACAATAAGAATAATGTATATAAATATGTAAATTGGTATTAGAATTTCAAATTAATTTATTATTAAAATCAATATATTATTTTGATTAATTAGGACATTATATATAGAAGTTTTAACGTATCTATTTTCGTAATGTAATTATTCGAAATTGATATAAAATGTTAAAGTTAATATATATACATGTTTTATATAATATTATATAAAATAGATATCAATATTTTAATAACCAATAATAAGTTGTAACACCTGTCACGTGATTTAGTCCATTATTTTGGATAACTTAACTGCGTAACATAAGCAAGCATATAATCATTGATTTGCTTTTAGTATCAATATCATTAGTGTTTTTCAAATTGAGAGGCTATTTTGAAAATTTTGTATTTTTAATTTAATATTTATTTAAAATGTCCAATATGTTTAAAAGAAGACTTCAAGCATTGGGATATCTAGAATGGGATAAAGTTAATATAAATGGTTTGTATTTGATAAATTTTTTAAATTAATAAAAATTTTAACATATTGAAATAACTATTTATAATTTTAAATTTTTTTAAATTTTCTAAAATAAAATAAATATTTATTAATAGATCTTAAAAAATATTTAGTTTTTTTGAATATTTTCATTCTTTAATAGTTTTAAATTAAATTATTGATTTAATTGTTGTATACGTACACTTTTCTTTATAGGTTATAACGAGCGGTATAATTAAATCATTAAATCTATTATTTTTTATATTTAAGTTAAAGATTTAAAATTGCATAATATTTATATAACATATTTATATAAAAATTTGATAATTATAACTTATAGAAAGATAATTTTTGTCATTAAATCATTATATATCAAAAATCAAATTATGAAATATAATCATTTCTTTTTTTATATATTTTTTTAAAA